AGAGAGAGAGAGAGAGAGAGAGAGAGAGAGAGAGAGAGAGAGAGAGAGAGAGAGAGAGAGAGAGACTCTGGGTCGCCGTCGATCAGTGTACATAACACTTGCTGTATATGAGTTACAGATTTTCACCAATCGTCAGAGTTCTCACATCTCGTGTTGCCTTTGACTCCCGTGCGGTTAAGTGTGCCCTATGGTGTATTGACATGTGATCTCACACTGTGAACTTTGTGTGAAGAATGGGCTCAATGCACTTTTCACAGTGTCAGTACTCACCTTAGCAACAAGCTTTGGCGGAATTGAGATGCACCAGGACATGGCAAGGCATCAATTGCAACAAGCATCCTCCGCTTCCGACCAAAGCAGTCGCGGGCCACAGAGTCCACAAAGTCTCCTGCAAACCGGAAGCCTGTGCCATATCTGTGAAGAGGAGGTATCAAACAAAAGACAAAACCAACCAACTGATCAAAACTTGCAAGTGTGCGACAAAAGAACCGCATTGTGATATAGAAAACAGGCACCCAAATGTAGAAAAGACACTGAGAATCAGCAGTCAAATAGAAGGTTGGGGAAAAAGGAGGCTAAAAAGAACGGCGAAACGGTTTGTATTGCGGAATTCATAGCCTGCCCCCTTCGGAATGAATGGCTGGTCTAAGCCCTGTATGGCCGCAACAGAGACAGCAATCAAAGCCAAGGAGTCTCCCTCCTCACAGTCAACTCACCTGCTGCAACTAAAAGGGCCTTTACCCGATATAGGCCTCAGGCCTTGTAAAAGTAAAGCAGCACGGGCCTTGTAAAAGTAAAACATTGTGAAAAGGTATCTCGCCAGGGCTCAGAAACGTGAAAGCAGGTCAAAGGTCAAGTTCTCTATCATCAGGCACATCTAGATCTAAGGCAAAGGGCATTGTCAAAAGACTTACCTGTTCACCAGGAGATGTGTATGTCATGTCTGTTCGGGTAAGAGTGTGTCTGTACGTGCAGGCAGTGTACCTGTTCGTGCAAAGGAAAGTGTCTGTTCAAGCAGTAAATGTGTCTGTTCGTTGAGAGTTGTGCCTGTCCGAAGGTAAAGTCAATAGGCACAGTCCCAGTTCTGGTCTAAGTCAAGGGGTCAGTCCAGATCCAGACTTTCAAGTCCAAATACAGGCCGAGAGGCCTCAGCAGCAGTTGAACTTCATTGGGACAATACTGGGACACATGCAATGCAGGGTCTGGGACAAAGGAAAGGCCGAGTTAAGCCAATGCAGACCCAGCAAGGAGTGGGCAGCACTATAAAGGGAGCTGCCTACCTCATTCCTCGCCAGATCTCCCCTGGCTTTCATTGCGTGGAAGTGATGGTGCACTTGTGCGTTGAGTCAGGAGGAGCAGCGCTGGAGGATGAAGATGCGCTGAGTGAGGGAAGAAGCTTGAATGCTGGGAGTAATGCAGCCATAGCTGCCCAGCAGTTAACATTAGTATTAGCGAGTTAGTGTTAGTCAACTATGAGTAGTATTCAGAGTAGATCCTCATGAGAGAAGCGTGTGTATGCATCATAGGAAGAAGGGGCCGAGGCAGAAAGTGTTCATTCAAGGTTGGGCTATGGATGATACTTACCTGAGTTGCATGTGAACTGCAGAGGTGGCGCTGATGAGTGGTGGCCACATTGATGACGTAGAGATAGTCTGCAGATGTAGCGCTGGTGCACTGGAAGTCATATTGATGAGTTGACGAGAGAGTTGTGTTGCGCTGATGAGCGCTGGACTCAGGGGAACTTGGAAACACTTTGTAATCATATTTTTTATAATATAAGTTTTGGAACTCGGTTCTCTTCTCATCTACCTTTGTCTATTGTGTGAGACTACTTATCATTGTGTGCGAGTATGATGCATGTCATGTACACACTTGCGTGAGATGGTCCCCAGGACCCATGCACAACCGAGGATCAGGAGCCAAATAGAATGGCAAAAACATTTTCCTCTTCATCGAAAGGCCTGGCAAAAAGAAGGCCATAAAGAATGGTGAAACAGTTTGCATTGTGGAATTCATAGCCTGCTTCATTCTGAAGGGATAACTGGTCTAAGCCCTCTGTATGGTCACAACAGAGACAACAATCAAAACCAAGGGCCCTCCCTCCTCACAGTGAACTCGCCTGCTGACCCTCGTGAACCTGTTATGTGCCTGATTCAAACGAGATCCAACATGGCATCCACACGTTCCCATACACATGTGCAATGACAAGTGACCTTTGGTGGAGGGAGCAATCCACACCACACCGGATGATAAGAATACACAGCCGGAAAATAGAATTGAAATGAAAATCAATTCCAATTGCCGTCCCTCCCAAGTCAATCAACAGCACGAATTTCCAAGGATCCCAACCACGTTATCAACACCCACGGACCAATTATTTACAAGATTTCATCGAAGTATCCGGGAGTCTTCTTCTTCCTCCCTCTTCCTCAACCTCTAGCTATGGTGTTTGCAAGCACCCAACCTATCAAGCCTGCCAATCGCATTCAAGAGGCCCACTGCGGGTGAAGTGTTCACTCAGCAGGGGAGCGCAGCTCCCAGGATGATGAAGAAGAACAAGCAGCTCGATGAAAATGAAGATCTGCCACGTCGAAGAAGAACCACTGAAAGTGCAGCTTCGGTGGCAGCTGACCAAACCCCAACGAGCACACAAATATGACGAAGCGCTCATCAGCACTTGGGTGCCGAGCCCAGCGCTGTCACCAATGGAGCTGGCCGGCCCCAGCTATGGTCGTCAGCAGCATGTGGAGAAGATGCCCTGCATACATCCCCACAATAACGCAGCAGGGAACCAACGCGACCTCCACCAAGACTGTGAAAAGAAAAGCAACGAAAAGAACCCCAAATTCCTCGGCCTCTGCCTACTCCTACGCGACTTTCCTAGACCTGCAACACAGCAGCCACCTACAGACCTACTTCTACGCGACTTTCCTGGACCTGCAACACAGCAGCCACCTACAGACCTATCTGACTGTCCAAACAGCAAACATCTACGGCCAAAGAGTCAAGATCTACCTACATGCCTCTAGTTGGACACCTAGACTAAGGGGGACCCAAGGCTAGGACACACAAAAGAAAGACCTACGGGCTACCACTTTCCAGAAGGCAGAAAAGGACAAAACAACAAGGCTGAAAGGCCTAAGACTACGAAGTAGAGACTACTAGCGACAGGTTCAAGGTTCAAGCCCAGCAAGGCTCAAAAACAGTCAAACACCACAAACATGCTACAGGTCATGGGATCAAGTCCCGGGTTGACTTCAACCACTGCAGAAACCGACAAAACAGCAAAGCCTAAGGGTCTAAGACTGCCAAATAGAGACTAATAGCTACAGGTCTAAGGATCAAGCCCAGTAGGGCTCAAAGCCAACAAACCAAACGTACAAATTATAGGTCACGGGATGAAGTCCCACAAGGCCCAAACAAAGGAAACAGCAAACACAGTTAGTGTACAGCTGTGTAGGGATCCGGGCCGCCTGGGTGACCGGCAGGGGCCGGGGGAGGTCCCGGGCGGCCTGGCCGGGCAGGGCACCCGGTTGGGGGCCGGGCCCCCCCAGCGCACTCACCTGTCGGGGGATTTCGAACCCCCTTTCGGACCTCCTTCGTGTGTGTGTGTGTGTTTGTGTGTGTGTGTGTGTGTGTGTGTGTGTGTGTGTGTGTGTGTGTGTGTGTGTGTGTGTG